TGTGATGGTTTTCACCATACATCCCAGCTTCCAACCTACAACTGCCTCACACTGCTCTTCTCAGAGCAATATATTAAGCACAGTGACAAATGTCACCCATTACCATTCTGTCACTGCAACAAGTTCCCAGGTGAACAGTCTATAGAACGAAAGGCACCACCAAGGATAACACTCCTCAACTGCACAACAAATCAAGCCAGACAGAAAAAAGTAATTTTGAGAACTGCAAAGGAAGGAATCCTATACATCAGTCTTTTTACTGATAAGTAGGAACAAGTAGTATGCCAACTCTCAATAAAAGAAGTTGAGGTATGAGATGATTTTCATCATAGTACAAATATAATTCCCAAGACACTTGTTCAATGAAAGCCTAAAAAGACAGTTGACAAATTCTGCCCTCCATGGCTCCAGTAACCTGTGCTTATCACCTATGTATGTTTCTAATCCAACACTACTGCAACACACTGTAATATTCCAAAGTTATTAACAGACTGCTGCTTTAGGTAGCTGCAAGAAAAAAGTCAAACTAAAGGTGAAGCCTCTTCTTGCAACAAGGTGATTTCACAAAATGAAACTACCAATGTTAAGAAAGTCTGCCACACATTACCAAAGAGTGAGAATTTAACTACAATACAAAAGGTTTTCTGTCTGGTAATAAGCTGAACTATACATTCACATTTCATAACTTGCTGATATATTGCGTAAAAACTAAGAATGTGCACCACGCAACACTATTGCTAATATGAACTTGTATTGCAATGACAGCTGCAGATTAATCTGCCCAGAAACTTTTACAACATATAGAGAGTACCACATCATCACACACACAGCTTCTGTAAGGAAAATGCACAAGCTCTCTAACAGGAAGGGAAAAGGACTTGATCTTAATGTCAGCAGCAGTCTAGAAAGCCTTGCCTTGTCAGTCATTCCTAAGGCAAGGAAGATGATATAGCACTCTTCCAGCCTGATGAATCAATTAATAAATCATTTTGCAAAGCTAGCCATAAACCATATTTAAGTCCTTCAAGACTATCTTACAAACAAAAATCAAGTAACAGCCCTCACTCCTGATTAGGGGCTGTAGGAAAAAGCAACCCACCAAGAGCACCAGAGCATCATAATTTGAACAATTTTTGAGTTATTACTTCATAATCTCACTCCATGAAGAGGGAAATGCCTAAAATAACAGGAAAAGCTTCCTTTAACACCTGTAACTCTTTTAATCAAAATCAAGTCAACAATCCCTCAGGAACATATCATTCTAAAACTGACTTAAGGCTGAAGCAGATGCTTTATTCAGGAGAGACCTCCAAGGCAGTGGATCCAAGCAGACAGTCCAGGCCACTGAAGGGGGTAGTGCCCCTCCAACACTTTCCTTACTGTCACTGTACTCCAAGCACAGTGCACTAATCAACCCCAAGATGACACTGTTCAACTCACCAAATCAAGAGGAAATCTGCCCAGAAAATCTGCAAGTACTTTTTGCTGCTGGTTTAGCAAGCTGAACTAGCTCAACCAGAGGCTGAGCACGGCCAAAGGCAAGGAGATAGGAGCACACTGCCAAGAGGGTCCTATACTGCCAGTCCATCATTTACAGCTGTCACTAGATCAGTTGAGTTCATGAAAATTTACCCCTTATGGTTAATAAGAGATCACTGCACACATCTAACTTTAAAGCCAAAGGAAAGGAGGACTGAAAGGGAAAGTCCTTTCAGTGTGCAGTTAAGAACAATTACATACTTATCTAAGCAAACCAACCACATCTCATTCCGTCACAGTTTAACTTCTTACTAAACTACAGGCCCATGTCTTTTATTTTTTAGTGGCTCCAAATCAAAAAACAGGAGTTTTCTGGAAGTCTGCATTGCTTTATAAACACAAGAGAGCCACAATGTTTCCTGATTTTTTAAAAATCAGGTTTTTTACAATGTTTTTTAGGTTTTTTATGAAATAGTAAAAACTCAGCTTCCTTCTTAAAGAGGTGAAGAATGAAGTCAGGAGAAAGTACCTTTTTGCTCTGAAAAGTCTCTAGAGACTGTCCAAAACTCCTGTCTCTCTACCAAACCATTAAGATGGGAGTACAGATAGACAATCTCCACACCACTGTCCTGGCTGCTGGATCTAACTTCTCCACCAAGTGCCTTGGAAGGATCAAGGTTACCTGGAAATATTTTTCTTTATGTAAGTTAAATCTCCTAAGACAACACACACATCAGCAGTTCATGTAAAAAGGTGACTTACAAACCAGATATAGCAGACACAAAGCATTTAAGGGAAACTAAAAGAAGAAAAATTAGCATTATTGATGTCAATAAATAGCCTTCCAAGTGGTATCTTTGACTCAATATTAGGTTATTTATTTTTAAGTGTCATTCATGGCTTAAGTGTTGCTCTTCCTTAATGTGTACTGATCTGCAACGGATTACTGATGCAAGAATTATCTCAGTACCAAACAGACACGGCCACTTAAAATACAGTCCTCATGGTTCTTTCACTCATTTTAGGAAAAATATAACATCTTCCTATCAAGAAAAGACATCTTAAAGTAATCTTAAAAAAAAAAAGGAAAAAAAACAAGAAAAAAAAAAGACAAAATCACAGTTGATATATTCACACAGCACAGCATCATTAAATTCAACTCAATACTCCAATATGACTTAGTCAGAATGAAAATCATGATCTTAAAAGTAATCAGGAAAAATTTTTAAGGAATACATAAATAATTATGAACTAACAGGTAAAACTGAAGTTATCAGCACCCGTATTACACCAAGGAGCACAAATAGCTGGGTTTTGCCAACAGATCAAATCCCTTTCCCCATCCTGGTCCCAGGAACAGGAAGGAACACAAAATGTGATAGTCTGCCCAGTTTAAGGCAGAATTACATCGTGTCCATTTAAGTAACAATAGCTCTCTCCCTTTTATGACAGCCCCAAGATAGAACTTTTGATTCTGAAAAGTTCACATGATCAGTTGACAGGCTGTCAGCCTGTTCCTGATTCACTTTCATACACAAACAAAACAGTTACTTCCAACTGAAGTTCCAAAATAAATTCCAAAGCAGCAAGTATTGCAGATTTAAATCAGACCATCTTCTCATTCTCATTTAAAGCATTTTCCTTAGAGTGAGTCAATCTATTTCAGCTCTTTCTTTAGGGTCACTTTACTAAAGTATTATACATATAGAATATACGGTATTGTTTCACATAGTTAATACTGTAACAGGTCATTGAGATTAATTCTGTCCTAACAATGTGTATGTTTCACTCTATTCGAAGAAAAAAGTATTTCACACTTTCACAGGTATAGATGCCTCAGAGCTCATGAGTTCACAAACTCAAATTTCTCAGTTACTGTATATCATACCAGTAGCTTTTAGCATCTAAAAAATCTAAATACCAAATATCTAAATACCCAGTTCAAGAAGACTTTTGTAATTTGATATAATTATTCTATTCCTTATTGTCAACTAAGTTCCAGCCTTTAGATTTTTATTTGTCAGAAGTGTGGCAAGAGATGACTAAGAGAACTTGCAAGAATCACATGTACCATTACTAAACTACATAAAGGCCTTGCTCTGTGAGCTGAGAGAACTCTGCAGCTACTTTGCATGGAAAAAACAAACATAGCAGGACCCAAACATGGCAACAATTTAGGATGTAGATTTACAGATATACTGCTCCTCAGGATACCTTGTAAAGACAGCAACTGGTTGTAAGTAGGGAATACTGTTTGATACTAAATACTCCTTGTATCCTTAAAGAAGCCATTGTCCAAGCATTATTTGAAGCATACCTAGATTATTAAAATTCATTAAAAGGTGAAACTAAATACACACACACACACACTTTCACATATACTTATACAAGACATATCAGATCTGTTAGGTCACAGTCTAACAAACAACCACGTAGACTTTAAACTCCTGCTGCTGCCGACATTTTATAGAAAGGAGGAGTGCTGGGGGCACTCCCCTAGGACACAGCAGATTCAGGTATAATCCCTTGCTCATCCACGAGCTTCCTGCACAGCCTTGTGTGAGTCTCTAGCTCTCCGTGCCCTCATCCCATGCTGAATGGTGAGCTAAAAGCAGGAAGATTTCAAGGTGATCACATGATGGCAACTGAGACCCAAGCATGTAAAATAACAAACACCCACTATCTGAGACAAAACAGAAAACTGACAGTCATTATATCTGTGTTTATATCTATCAGGAGTGACGTGGGTTCACCTAGCACAGCAAATTCCGAATTGTTCTCTCAATCCTGTTTGAGAGAAGGGTTTGTTCATACATATGGTGACCTGAGAGATCAAATGCATGCACTGTCCTGCATCCAATAATGACAAGCAAGGAGTCTCTCTCTCAAGTACATCAATCTTTCTATCCTGCAAAAGCAACTTTCTCTCTGTCAATTATCTGATATTTAAGACTCATCTCACTGCACCACTCCCATCTAGAAACAATTCTAAAACCAACCCACACTTCTAAGTCATAACAAAGGCCTAAAAACTGCACCGAATGCTTCAGACGTGCAGCCAAAGCTAGGAAGATCCTGGAAGCAGGGATTTGACACCACCATAATCACGACAGGCATTAGCGTGTCCAGCAAATTCTGACCTGAAGCAGCAGGTGAAGGAGGCCGAGGGAGGGAAAGCCAACCCTGATTCCCGCACGAGGAGCGCCCAAGCGATCGCATCCCTGCACAGGGCCCACACACACAACTCCCGTCGGTGACACCGTATCTGGAGCAGCCCCGAGCACGGACCCGCCGCCGATGCCCCCACACCGCCCTGGCCCCAGGCCCGCTGTCCCCTGCCCAGCCGGCTCAGCGGAGCTCGGCCGGGGCCGAGGAGCCGCCGGCCCCGCGGGGAGCGCGGACAGCGAGGGAGGCGCACCCGGCCCGCGCCCCCGCCCCCGGCGCGGCCCCGCACCCCGGCGGGCGGGCGGCGCGGAGCCCCCGCCGCTCCCCGCCCCAGCCCGGCGGGGCAGCCCCGGTACCTTGCGGACCCCCTTGTAGATGTAGAAGTAGAGCTCCCGGCCCACATTGAAGCAGAGCCGGTCCCCGTTGCCGCTCTGGTCGTTGACGTTGACGAAGGAGACGCGGACGGGGTTGGAGCCCTGCGAGTTGAAGGGCACGCGGTTAGGCCGGCTGTACTCCGAGTGGCTCAGCAGCTTGTACAGCCCCTCCCGGGTGGTGAACTGGGTCTTAATCTCGTTCATCTCCTTCCCACCTCCCTCCGCCGCCATCTTGGAAAGGAGCGCTCATCCTGCCCCAGTGCCCGGATGTGCCGACACTGCGCAGCCGCCGGCGCGCGCGCGGCCCCTGCGCGCGGGGGCGACGCGAGGAGGCGGGGCCGGCGGGGGCCTGTTTACCGCGCGACTGCGCGCGCGCCGGGCCCGCGCGCCCGGGGGGCGGGGAAAGGGGCGGGGCCTGGAAATGGGGCGGGGCCTGGGGCGGGAGTGGCGGCGTGCCCGAAGGGCCGGGCCGGGGGGGTCACAGCGTGCAGGCCCCTGCACAGCCTTCCTGCACAGCCTTCCTGCACAGCCTTCCTGCCCCAGCCCCCCTGCACAGCCTTCCTGCCCCAGGCCCCCTGCACAGCCCCCCTGCACAGCCTTCCTGCCCCTGGCCCCCTGCACAGCCCCCCTGCACAGCCTTCCTGCCCCAGGCCCCTGCACAGCCTTCCTGCCCAGCCTTCCTGCCCCAGGCCCCTGCACAGCCTTCCTGCCCCAGCCCCTCTGCACAGCCTTCCTGCCCAGCCTTCCTGCCCCAGGCCCCCTGCACAGCCTTCCTGCCCCAGCCTGCCTGCCCCAGGCCCCCTGCACAGCCTGCCTGCCCCAGGCCCCCTGCACAGTCCCCCTGCACAGCCTTCCTGCCCCAGCCCCTCTGCACAGCCTTCCTGCCCCAGCCCCCTGCACAGCCTTCCTGCCCCAGCCACCCTGCCCAGCCTTCCTGCCCCAGCCCCCTGCACAGCCTTCCTGCCCCAGCCACCCTGCCCAGCCTTCCTGCCCCAGCCCCCTGCACAGCCTTCCTGCCCCAGCCACCCTGCCCAGCCTTCCTGCCCCAGCCCCCTGCACAGCCTTCCTGCCCCAGCCACCCTGCACAGCCTTCCTGCCCCAGCCCCCTGCACAGCCTTCCTGCCCCAGCCACCCTGCCCAGCCTTCCTGCCCCAGGCCCCCTGCCCCAGCCCCCCTGCACAGCCTTCCTGCCCCAGGCCTCCTGCACAGCACGGGCTGCGTCCGGAGCGCTCCTGGATGTCTCCAGTGAGCGGGACTCCGCACCCTCTCCGGGCAACCTGTTCCAGAGTGTGCACAGTAAAGAAGTTCTTCCCCATGTTCGTGTGGTGCTCCTGTGCATCCGTTTCTGCCCGTGGCACCACTGAGAAGAACCTGGCTCCATCCTCTGACACCCCTCCTTTAGATATTTATACACATTATCCCCTCTCAACGTTTCTCAACGCGGGATAGGCCCAGCTCCGTCAGCCTTTCTTCCTAAGAGAGATGCTCCAGTCCTTTAATCATTTTTGTAGCTCTCCACTGGGCCCAGTCCAGGAGCGACAAGTCTCTCTTGTGCTGCAGAGCCCAGAACCGGACACAGCGCTGCAGATGTGGGCTCAGCAGGGTTACCCAGCGTGGTGGCTCCACGGGGCAGCTGCTCTGGGGAATGGGAGAGAGGGGGAGGAGGAGGTCACCTAAGGATGTGGTCATCTGTGCCAGCGCAGCGTGGGGTGAGGTGATCCCCGCTGCTGGAAGTGCCAGATCAGAGCCAGGAGGTGTCCATGTGCAGCACTGGTTTTGGGGCAATGGCTCCCAGGTGAGAGCTCCCACTCACACTCAGCCCTGGCCATCTCCAGCTTTGCCCACAGGGTACTTGGCAGTGCCTGGAAGCCTGGTGAGAGTCTTGCTGTGAGAGTCTGAGAGTTTAGGGACAGCAAATCCAGGTGTGCAGCTGTACTTTGGCACTTCATGCCAAGCTCGGGGTGCCCCTGATGGAGATGGCATCTCCGTCCCTCCAGCTCTGCACCAGCCTTCAACCTGCTGCAGGCAGGGCCGGGCCTGGGAGTTGGCCTGAGGTGTGAACCTGAAAAACTGGTTATCAAATCTCTCACCTCATTGTTCTGATCATCCTGCAGCCATACTGCCAGCTGTGTTGCATGGTGAACCAGATCAATATCAGATGGAGGTGGCACAGGGTTGGTGGGAAGGATTGTATTCACTGGGCAGGGAGGCAGGACTGTTTCTTCTGACAGCAGTTTTGGCTTTAAGAGTTTGTCTGACTACAGCCTCGTGACTGACTCAAACTGATCTAAGACTGATCTCCAGCTGGAAAAAAAGGTTTTGGCCCCTCCTCTACCGGTATTTCCATTACCTGCCTTGCATCAGTTCTAGTAATCATGCAACCAAAGGGTGAGTCAGATCCACCTGAAAGTTAACACACATACAGAAATCATGAGTTCTCAGGTAAGCAAAGTGTTGATCAGCAGCCAGTTTGATTCAACTCACCGAAGAACTGCTGGAGCCAAAATAAGGAAGGAGTTGTGTGCAACCAAGGGAAGATAAGCAGCAAAGAATTAGAACATTTTATGTTAGCAATAAAAAAACCACACTTTCAAGGTATAGTTTCCTGCTGTAGCTGTGTGGCTCTAATGTGACTGTTACCAAAGGCATTGTCCTGCTCTCTTCTTTCTGGACTATGTCTATCTGCTGCTATTCCTTCCTGTACCAGCCACGGTGCTCTCCTGACCTCACAAGGAGCCATTTCTAAAAGGTAAAGGGATAGACAACTGAACTCCTGGCAAATGTTAAATGAAAAACACTGTCTGCTTAAGGGAATGGACAGCAGGACCTTCCTTCTTTCCATTACATCAGCTCAGCTGAAGAGTTCCACTCAGTCTTCCAGACTGCAGGGGGTTAAAGGGATTTAGTTTCAAGTCAATTTAGTTCAAAGAGATTTTGTTTGTAGCTGAATACTGTCTTGCTACTGACCATCAAAATATTGGTAAAAGATAGCAAAGAGACCTGAAACAGCCAAGGATCTCCAGAACAGAGTATGTATCTGAGTGAATATCTGCACAAGTACAGATGATTAAACTTCTAAAAGGCTAGGTATTAAAGACTTGCTTGAAATTCTTAAGATAAAGCCAATCAATAATGACCAATAGATCTTGTCAGCTTATCAGCCAGTCCTGCCAGATGGTATTGATGACCTCCTAAAAGCACATAAAGTAGGTAAGCAGCCCTGCATTTTTTTTAAATCATGTTAAAAGTGATTGTTTCATAAAGAAATTTCATTAATGGACTTCCAGAGAGAAAGAATATTTTCTTTCACCAAAGAATTGCCAAAGAAGAGCAGGAACAGCAAGGATCTCTAAGTAGTAATACTCAAAACAGATAAAGATGTAACAACAAAAACAAAATTAAAAAAAAAAAAAATGTTGCTCCAAGCAGGCATACTCAGTATGTCTTATCCATTATTCACTGACAACACAGGATAGATCACTCTGCAGAAGAAAGCAGGCAACTTTGGTAGAGGGACTGTGTGGAATGCAAATTGTACTGAAACCACAACAGGCCATCTGTCACTGATGGAATGAGTGTGATCCAAAGAATAAACAAAGTTAACAAGTACCTGGTTATCAGCAGTACATGATGGTGCAGAAAGTCAAAGAATTGATGTAGTGTTTTACATTTACAAGAAACATCAATAAAAGCTGCTGAGAGATTCCATGGAGAATCCAAGACAAATATTCATTTGAAAAACACAGCTGCAAGTCACAAGAACACTATTGTACAACCCATCAACAATGCTCATCAAATACTAGGAGAAAAAGAGATTACAGAGATAAGTCTTATGAAAAAAAATTCCTGTACCACTTGAAAATTCTTCTGTTTCAAGCTAACCAAGGATGATAGTTCTGAAATGATCCCAGGAGGACACCCCAAATGAGGTGTTTTGTATGCACCACATAACCAATAAACTGAAGTCAGTCCCAATCACTGCTGTATTGTGCCTTCACCTTTTGCAAATTGTTTTAGCAAATTGCAAAGCAGACATGAGCAAAATTCACTAACAGTTATAAAATAGTGTGGTCCTTTGAGATTGCTTTATGCAGGGCATAAATTGGTCCTGCAACTTTTCAGAATCTAATATTAATAGTGCTTTTACTGGACATGAAGAACCTGCAATGCAAGTACAGTTATGAACAAAATTTTCCTGTGCTTGAATTTGAATATCTGTTAATTCCCCAAAAGTGCAACAACTGGTATTGACTTTTACCAGCTTTCCTGAGACAAAAAAGAAAAGAGGAGGGTGATTACACCCATACTCCATCAGGCAAATTGTCTATTCCAGCATGCACTGCCTTCAATTTATGCTGTAGAAATCAGGAGACCATCTCTGCACTGTCTGTCATCTACAGCAGGTCTGTCAAGTCTTTCTGATGCCCAAAACAATTTAGGCATTTAGTGTGACTGGCTTAAGAGTCAAGAGAGTCAAAAGCTCTGCAATGTGTCCAATTTTAACAACTTTTGAGTATGTGTGAGTTACTAACAGAGATACACAGACATGTAAGGAACACATCTGAACTAGGCAAAAGTTGGTGCTGGTGAGAGGATGGCTTGAAAGTTGCATTTAATATGGGGAGAAGAAAAAGGAAATATATTTCCAAGTACTTACATGGTCTTTAAGGTACATTTAACTTGCTTTAATCAGGAGAAATTATTGGTTTTGGCATAATTTCATTGCTGCTTATTTGCATTAGGAATCTCTTCTTAACCGCTGCATACATTTAACATTAAATATATGAGGTAATGCATTATGTATTATAAAGTGAAAGGGTGTTACCAAGGGAGTCTCTGCTCTCCTAGAAAACACATTACACGTTGTTTATACTTGTATCCCTCCACAGAGGAGCCAGAGCATGTGAAACATTTTGTTTTCATAGTGTGGGGGTTAATTACTGAGAAAAAAATGGGTACTCTCAAAAACAGATATTTGGATTGAAGGAGGCAAGGTAAAATGAGTCTGCTTTGTAGTTGGGATAGGATGATGGGTGGACTCTGTTGTGTCTTTGGAAAACTTCATTCTGCTGTTTGCAATCAGGTCCCTGTGAGTTGTCTCCTGAAAAGAGTACCTTGCCTCCATAGCCAGGAGTGCTGTTCTTGTCAACAACAGTTATTATCTTGGAACTGTAGTTGTCCTGGAAATTATGTTCTCTGAAGATAAGACAGAGATATTGAATTTAATTTAAATTCTATGGAAAGCTGGAGAGATTGGTTTGATATACCTACAAATAACTTGTGTTTCTA